CCACCCCCCCCCTTCCCCCTCCCCTGCCCGGGCGAGCGCTCGCTCCTGTCTCGGATTCGCCGACCTCGCAACACCGGCCCATGCACCTCAATCTCGCGCCGCCGCTACCTCCCGTCGCATCGGGTGTATTTAGGAGCCGCTTCCCGCCATTTCGCCTGCACCCTACAAGCGCTTCGCCCAATTTGGTGCGGTAGTACCGTTATGTAGGTCGCATGTACGTGCGTACAGAAGTGGTTTACCGTACAAGTAGGTGCCTCGTCTTGCCGCCACAACGGAGCTTGGCGCGGAGCTTGGCAGCGCTGTTGCGCCCCCTCGCCGTCCTTGTTGCGCACCATGTCACCATGGGTGCCAACTCGCCGCAGGTGCCCGCGCAGATTCGAAGTAGATAACGTCGTCTTTCAACCTGGTATACGGCGCCCTGGCCAGGCAAAGTGAATGGTACCAATGTTTATCGCTTTCGCACCCTGCCGTTCATGCCCTTCAATGAGAAAGTGTTCAAATCGCCTGGCATTTGTGCGGGGGCTTCTGCGCCCCCCCCCCCCCCCCCCCCCCCCCAATGTTAAATGCCACCATGGCATGGGGTTGTTCGAAAAGTTTTGGGCGACTAGATGGCAAGTGGCCAATGGTCTGCAGCTTTCTCCGCCGTCGACGGCGTTCTGACGCTGCTGCTTCGCCTCAAAGAACGCTCTACTCTAGATCGCTTCAACACCCACGCGCAGAGAAGTAGGACCAAAACGTCGGCGCCGACGCAAGCTTGCAGATAAGAATCGAGGTACCCACTCACAGCGAGGAGCTGCACGTGCGCAAACTAAAAATCATTCCTACGTAACGATACGATATTTACATGTCCGGGTTAAACCCCAGATGGATAGCAACCGTAAACACTGCAATTGCAGCCGATTTTCTGTTATGGGTGCGTTGCTTGCATATGTCGCCCGATGCCTGCCTGGTGACGATCGTTTGCTTTTGAGCTCAATGGGAAGGCCGAGTGGCGTTGGCGTCGTGTTCGAAACGTTGCGGTGTGAGCATAGTGCAGCGCTGCTCGCTTAAACATGGGGTGATTGGGTGAGACCTGCACAGCCTTTAGGACATGCAACAACTTTCTTCGTTGGGCCTATGCTATGTCGAAGTGAGCCGCGTTGAGCTCGATTGAGATGGTTTATCGGTGCCCTTTTGGTTCGAGGCTCGTCGAAAATCACGTCCGACCCACAAACGCGATATCTGCGTAGAAAACAGTCTACTGCTCCTCCATTATCTTGCAGACAGGGAGAGAGAGAGGAAGATGAAGACGAGCTACACGTTGTCTGGCTCACCACAGGAATTTTTCGGGCGAACGATTTGGACAATAATATCCCTTGACCCCTATTCCATGTTTGCTCTCTCCTGTTCTTGCGTCAGAGCATTGACTAACAGAAATCGCAGTCCAGCATAATCAGGCCGATCGCCCACATTCAGGCTGTGCACATGCTTAAAAAACACCACCAACTCCTCTGGCAGCCCCACACAGAGCTCCGCAGCCGTAACTTCGAGCTTCCGACGCAGCGTTCTCTCCCCATACTCGTTGGTATTCGAACTGTTTACAGCCTCCCACGGCAAGAACCCCGTTAAAAGTTTCACAATCACGTATCCAAACGACTCCAAGTCGTCCTTGGGCCCCTGGGGAATGCCCTGATGAGCTGCGACGGAGCCGTATAGGGGCGTGCCAATGAATGGTAAGCGCTGCCCGGGGTTCCCGCGATGACCGTAACCGTAACCGTTCGACGGAATACACGCAGATAGTCCAAAGTCGATCAGCGTAATGGCAAGCAGCCCATCGCTCGTGAAGTCCACGAGGAAGTTTTCCGGCTTGATATCGCGGTGTACGATCCGCTTCTCGTGAAGCGTTTTGATCCTGTCCAGACATTGGATGGCCACCTGGAAGACGATGTCCGGGCTGTGTGTCGACTGGAAGTATTCGTGCAGAGAGCGGCCAAAGTAGTCTAGGATGAGGACGTTGAAGGGTCCCGTGTTGCTGAAGTGGTGGACACGGGAAAAGCCGTACGTTGCCTCCGGGTGGTGGATATGCTCGTAGGTGCGGTATTCTTGTCGCAAGAGCGATTGCTTTTGGTTGTCGACAATCTCCACCTTGGCCACCTGCCAAGTCCCGGTCAACATGTCGTACACTTGGCACACCCATCCCCCGGATCCGCTTCCAATTTTCTCGCCGAAGCTCCATCGATCGGCGAGAATCAAGTTGTTCTGACGCATCTCGACGGCTGGCGACGAGGCTCGCGGAGCACTTGCGCCCTCTGTTTGGTTCGGAGAGAATGGTACTCCATTTGCTTGATCAAAGTCTTCTCTGGTACTTTCAAAAATTCTGCTGTCGAGAGTATATCGAACTGAAGCTGTTTCACACTCCAGCGTGTCCAGACGCGTCTCCGTCGTCTGCAAAGCAGACAAGAGATATTCAAGGTCCCTCTTTTGTTGCGTTACCTCTGTGTACATGTCGTCGCTCTTTCCGCATAGTGCATTCATTGTGTCAACCGTCTCCTTCAACCCATCCTTCAGAACTGCGTATTCTTTTTGCGACTTGGAAGTTCTTTTCGTGACGACCTCAAGACTTTCGCCCAACGACTCCATGATGGAGATGATCGCTTTCACTCGCTCTTCTCCCAAGGGCCCCACGGTGGTGGCTTCACTTATTTCTCCGAGCTTCTTGTCATCCTTGGTGCACATGGCTGTTTTTCCAAATTGAACGGCCAGATTCATGACGGGTTCAGGCTTTACGTGTATGGACGAACCCTTCATTGGTTTGTGTTGCGCCTTCGAGTTTGGAAGGAGAAGCACAATCCCAAGGTCTACACCCCAAGGAATGACTAAATCGTTTCCCACAAAAGGCAGTGGCAATGGCAGGCTTATGAAGCCCAGCGCACGATATTGCACAAGATGTGCTGTTCGTCAATCTCCACATCGACACAGTTTGCCTCTTTATAGAGTGCTACGCTGATCCAGATGCCAACGTCGCGTACCTGATCCATTCCTATCCCCGACACGCAGTGTCCTCACAACCTGTATCAGCTCAACAATTGTCTGGAAGGCGACGAGACTTGCCTTCACCTCCCCACATGCCGAATTTAGGAATATTTCCTTCGGACACTGTCCTGAGTGGCAAGGGGGGAGCGACTCTTCATCGGAGGCCTTCTTGGAGACATATGCTTTGATGTTTTCTATCCTGGGGTCAGGATGAATTGTACAGCGAATGTTGGTTCTTGGCTGGCCAGCGTCACATCGTGAAGGACTTGCGGGCACTGAGATAGGAGCAGGGATGCTGCATTCTGAAAGGACGAGACAATAACATATTGAGAATTACAAGCGATCAAAGTTTCTCTGGCGATCCGTATGTCGTGCGAGACAGGACTTAACGTGCAGCCGTCAACATGAATGACCGTTCATGTTGATGCATGGTGCACGAAAACCCGCTAGAGCACTCGCTCATCAGGTCCATTTGAGTCGTTCGGGCCAGTCGCCCGCGCGCTCCGCTGGCCTTCGACCTGGGGCGAACATAGCGATCGAGAATCCTCCGCGGGTGGAAAGTAGTGTCGCCGATATCGTTGATTTGGTTATGGGGGGGCGGAGCAGGAGGAGAGCAAATGATCCGGATGAGAACTTTCTTGCATATTTCGGAATTCCAAATTTCATCATACCGTACAGTAGTGGCCAGAACTGGCCACGTTAAGACACACCCTGACACACACCCTGACACACACCCTCAAAAGGGGGCAAGCAACAAGTGTACATCCGTATGCATCAT